TTTTCAGGTATTGATTGTTACATTTTATTACCGCTCTCTCCAAAATTTACCAAATTCCACAAATAAAATAATAAATAAAAATTTCCAAACTCCCGCATCTAGTTCTTTCCCAAATTTCCCGAAGAACTAATTTTTTCAAATTGGTGTGGCCTTAGTACCGAACTTTCTTTCTTTCCTTTTTCAAGTGGAAAATATCTGAAAAGTGTCTTTTTATTCTAACCCATATATTTGTTAGTCACCACTGGGGGAACCCCAGTGGGGACTATTAATTTCGGTTTCAGTCCTAGATGTTGACCTCTGTTGTCTTGGGCTGTTAAGTGTCTTGCTTCTGTCGGAATATACCAGGCGCTAATAACCAGCTCTTGGATAACTCAGTTATCGATTTCCTTTTTAAACATGAAAAGCATAAAACCTAAAGGCGTTCCAAAATTCCCATTGGATAATATACCGTTAATATTTGCGTATTATGCGCATTTTTCTTAGGAAAAAAAAGTGTCTAGAAAGGGGTGTACATGATACTCAAGAACAATCCAAAACCAGTCCTTGGTCGCGACCATATCTCGTAAACTTTTCGAGGATTTACGGAAATGTTTTGAAATACGCTCGCAGCAATAAAACTGCTAAATTTCGTTGAATAATCCCTGATTGCATTGCCAATTTAACAATTTCGAAAAATTACAAGTTTAAGTCATATTATACTATAGAATCGGATAAAAAAAACTCGAGTAAAGTAGGTCCAACTTTTCAGGACGTTACGTTACCACGTATCGGGAAACATAACGAAGAATTGTATCGCATTTATCACTCTGTGGTTAAAATGTCGTTCTTGGGTAAAACATGCTGAACTCTTCAATCTTGACAGTCAAAAGAACATGGGTAAAATGGCGAAGTTAGCAAGTTCGTGTACCGCAAAGAGTCAAGGTCGCGAGATACTATTAACAGGCAGGAATTTACAAGGTGACATCCATGCGAATTGAACCGATAATGATAAAAGTTTGAGTTTGAAAATTAAATATCAACGGGTTCAAAATAGCAAAATATATTCCGATCTTTTCTTTTGGAAAGAGGGTTGTTGAAATCACAATTGTTTGGTGTTCTTCATGTTTCGCGAATTCGGCTGTCGGCGGTCCTCGTCGGAGTGACTGCCTTTAAGCGTACACATTCTGCCGGTATCGATGACCGATTCAGTCGGAATTGCAGACGATCAGAAAACTACTTGGAAAAGTGTATTTCATAACAAAAAAAGTAAAAGATTTATCCGTATATCATATTGAATCTGTTATGAAACTTATTATTGTTAAAACAACATCGTTTTATTCCAATTACCTGTTCTGCCCATGCCAGGTGACCGTGTCAGCGCGCAGATCTCCCTGTATTCGAGGTGTCAGTCAACGCTAACGTTATATTTGCGACATGCTTTCCTATTAATTCCATGTGTTGGCATGGCTACCTGAACAGCATGTATGTATTTACACTTGGTCATTGTTTACCATTTGGATTGAGAGGTGGAAATTTATCCGCTGTAGCTTGGTCAATGATTATACAGAATGATTGGGTGACTTTCATGTCATTCTGACATATTTCTAGTTTTAGTTTGCTATGTAATTTAGCTTATACTTTCACATTGTCACAAAATAGTCGTAGCTTCTTCTTGATAAATGTTCACTATCTACAAGATTACCTACTTATATCTGTTTACATAGAAATACTTTAATATATACGAGTACATGTAAACAGCCGTTCTTTGGATAAACACAGTCATAAATTATGTCATCAAGAACTGTGCAGGTCACATTTAATTTTTTTACTGACTGTTATGTTTTGTTGACGTAATAGTATAGCTGCTATATATTTCAATGAAGTCTCGTTTTGCATTAGGATTTTTATAAAGTTATTTTGATAATCAAAAAACTTGTATAACATATATGATCTGTTGGTGTAACATTCTCTCATGTGCTGACCAAATGCTAAACTTCTGTCGAGGTCGATACGCTGTTAAATGGTCCTGATACAGTAATATCGAGAACGCACTGGTGTGATGATTTGCTCATCTAATGAATTTCAGACTGAAGTGATTATACCCTTCTGTTTAATAACAATTTATCAAATGTACTACTATTCAAAATAAATCCATAATGGGGTTTTTCAGTGTAGGCACATGCTTCAAAGTTATGCTATTAATATAGTTATGATTTAGTTATCTTTGTGTTGACTGAGCATTGGTTCCGTTCATACAACATTTCGAATGTTTCCGAGTTCCGTGTATAATGTTTTGCCAATACAAATTATTGTGTATTGGTAAACGTTATGCGCCAAGTGAACTCGGCCAAGAATATGAGAAAATAATAATATGACTAACATGTCATTCGGATTGATATGTCTCGTCTGTGCCCCGATTTGACCATCTAAACGCTAGAACTTAGTGTTAATGGAGATGGTGTTGATATCGTCGCCAGAAAAGCAACATCTAAGTCTCGCCACCGCTACGTCGTGACGGCTAATCAAACTGCTTTTTGGACGTATTTTGTGAATAATATAACAATTGCATGTAAGAAAAATACTGAGGGTGCAATCAGGTGAATGGTCGATTTCCTAGATTGCCATATCTTTGTTCATTGCGATGCAGGGTTTGTAGCAAACTGTTGGCATTTCCAAACACTTGATTTCACATGAGGCTAAATTTACCAAAAAGCTCATCATGACTGGTATAATAAAATGCTTATAAAATCTTTCTATTTCCTTAAATAACAAGACTTTGTCTGAGCAAATGGTTCGTACATACCCTCCTGATATTGACGGACCAATTTTCAATACCTGTTTTCAAAGTTTCAAGAAATACCGACTCGTGGAGGCTATGGGTAAATTCCATGGTCGTCATCATAATCTTGTTGCGTAGAACATTTGATCGAAGATTTCCATTATGCTTAAATGTTCACTTGGATTAGACCTATATTGACATGCAACCCATGTCGACATCACTCACAGGTCCATATAACAACATATCGACCTCGACTAAAGTCCGTAATTGGTAAGTTTTTATATTTAGTATCGCATGCTGACTTTCTGTAGCAGGTGTTCAGCTTATCGTTGTTTCCGCTCTTTGTACTATTTTGTTTTGGTTACAACATTTGTTTCTGTTTTAGTTTTTACCCGACAATGAAGATGGATACCAGGTTTAGTGATGAGGTGCACGCTATGTACACTGTCCACAGCCATGTTGGTAATCAATGTCGCCCGGTAATTGTGGAAGGCCTAAGTAAGAATTTGTATGTACAATGTAACACTTATATACAGAAAAAAAACCACAACTAATGAACAGAAGATATAAATATTCTATGTGAAGCAGAAAGCGCAAACTCTCGATCGAAAGTTGGTATTCGGGGCTCTAAATGGGATATAGTAAATTACTTTAAAATCATTTTCATAAAATACAGTTAACGAAGGAGAAATACTCGCACCCTCCTCCTTTGAAACGTGTGTGTAAATAAGAACGTACGCACGAGAGTTAATGGTGTGCCCAATCCCGCTGATCATTTGTGTATTCATAAAAATGAAATGATACATTGTTGCAATGTATACATTCCGATGACGTCACGTTGTTGACGACGTCCAAGGCTTATCTGGACTGGCCGACATTTCGGCTGTATTTTGTATTGTATTGTACGCGTGTGGTCATTTTTACAATGTTGAATTTGATGATGTAGATAATATCTAGCGAAACCAAAAGCGTATGCAGGATTCCATATACTTAAATTGTGAAGAAATTTCCTTTTATATAGATAGATTCACATCAGTTCCGTAATTCAAAATACAAAATAAAAGTCATATGATATTATTCCAGAACGAAAGATCACAATGTATTTTCTTGTTGAAATATGTTTCAGATATAACTAGATACATATGTATGCGATTAGGTTTGTGTTTTTGAATAATATCCGAATATGGCGGTCAAGGTTATTTAGTATTTTCTACCGTAATGCTGATGACTTCTGTTTATTTAGGAAAACTAATTAATTCAACATCAGCAAGCCAGACAATGCAACCAGTCGGCATAGCAGATTTTTGATCTAAGCAAAGTGATCCTAGGTAGTATCAGGCATTACTTTGAAACGTTGAAATTAACTATATAAAAAAGAGAAGCATAATGTAGCATATTGAAGGAATTATAAACGATAACATAATTATGTTTTATGTTTTAGAGAAGCAAACTATAGTATCTAGTGAAGGATTTATAAACGATAACATAATTATGTTTTGTCTTTTAGAGAAGCATAATATAGCATCCGTTGAAGGATTTATAAACGATATTATAACTATGTTTAATGTTTTAGAGAAGCATACTATAGCATCTAGTGAAGGATTTATAAACGATAATATAATTATGTTTAATGTTTTAGATAAGCATACAATAGCATCCGTTGAAGGATTTATAAACGATAATATAATTATCTTTTATCTTTTAGAGAAGCAAAATGTAGTATCTATTGAAGGATTTATAAACGATAATATAATTATGTTTTACCTTTTCACCTATATTTTGTTATCCAGGCAACAAAAACAATGCCGGAATAAATGTCAGAAGTAAAGTCTACCCAGTTATCATCCCCAGGACTATGTACGAACAGTGTGTCCTTGATAGTACCCTGGACCTGGCGATTTCCACTGTGGCTACACATTATTTATCTAAACAGTATGTATCATATATATCACTGATATACACCAGACTTTTTCTTGTTCTCAGTAAACGTTTATTTTTACTTAGGTATAACCATTCAACGCGTAACATAAGTAAGTATACATATAATAATATACAACATTTATATAGCGCCCTATATAATTTGTAAAATTACTCTGAAGCGCTTTACAACATATGGATAATAGTTATAGTTCTAATGTGAAACAAAAGCAAAGGCTTACAATCACTTTTATACATTTAAGCAAGCAATGCGCACATAATTGAACAAATAAAGGGTGTATTTACATGACGTCGTTGCAGATCCTAAAATGCAGACGTGAAGAGGTGAGTTTCGATGTCCCTCTTGAATTTGGCCAGGGTATTTGACTGGCTATTGAAACACAAACTGCTATCTAATTTTGTTTTGAAAATACAAAAATGTTTTTGTTTATATATGCCAATGAAAACCATATCCCAAAAATAAGTGTGCAGAACTGGTAAATGTTCAGACGTATGTATTCAAGTTGTAATTACAGAACCTGTGATCAAAATCACAACTTGTTTTTGTTTTTTTTGTTTTTGATAAAATGATTTCGTACTAAAACACTGAAAATGTCATCCTAACTTGTACATCAAATATATCCAAAACTCGTCACTTTCTGTTCGACCGCGGGTAAGAGATGGTTGTTCACGTCATGAAGGTGCCGCTACACGTCCATACAAATATAACGATGTTTGTAGAACAAATACGTTTTTATATAAAAAAAAAAAGAGGACAAATATAAAATAAAGTTATCAGTGGCTCACATAGATATGTTACCTCCCGCCAAAAAATAAATTAATAGAATACATAAATAAATAAAATGGTTAAAAGCAATCAAGCGTAACCCGTTTACCTTGACCGATGACCACCAAAATAAAATCAGGTGAAAAACTAAATGTTACCTACATGATTGTGTAAACATGTTAGACCTATGACCTTGAACTTAGACGGACGAAATGACACAAGGACGCACTGACAAAGCAATATCTACATACCCCTCAATGAGCAGGGGTAAAATAAAGAATACTGGTCTGTAAGATGTTAAACATGTTTTTGAAACCATTAATTATCATTATTTTCAGAGTCTGTCAAATCAAAAATGGTGTCTTCATGTCTGAGGCAAATGCGAGAGAACAAGGTTTGATGAGAGAACAAGGTAAAGCTGACTGGAGGGCATTTGTGATTTCAAGGGGACGAGAACTCAAACCAGGCGAGACTTTAATTTTTTATTGGTAACTGTACGGTATAACAGTTATAAATGCGTTAGAAAAAAATCCATTCGTAATCATCAAAAGCAATATACTAGATTTCGATACGGAAAAATTTCGTTATCGTAGCGGTAATACAGAATGACACAACAAGATAATTTCTCTTAGTGAACAGTGGTATGCAGTGTGATATCACAAAATGTTTATCACGCACACATGTTTGATCAGCTATAAGATAAGACCTGTTAATTATAATGATGAAATAAACAATATAAAGTTAACAATAATGTTCTGAGTGCACAAATGCAGCTGGTCTAGACCTGGATTCGAACCCTGGACTTCAGATTGTTACACTATCCCTCTAACTGGCTTAGCTATACCTGGTCAAATGAAGGTGCTCTGGCTAAAGTGTGCTACAGTTCTATCCAAACGAAATTAAGAGGAGATTATTTTATATGCGCAAAACCACAGTGCAGTTGGACAGAGATCCTTTGATGGACTAACCACAACTTAATAAAAGAGAGTTTTGGTTAACACAAGATGTTTAAATTTTCAATACAAATAATGTATGTTCAGATTTTATAAAAATTATGCCTTTAATTCCGGGTTATTTTGAGATGGGACATCCGTTTTGCAAATATTTACATTGTTGCCACCTATATAAATTTAAGAGTTGAATAGCATTGACACACATGCTTCTGTTTCAGGTGGTTTTCTTATTACAATGAATGTATCATCAAATGAGAGCAAAGGAGGAATCGTCGCAAATAGAAAACGGACAAATCCAATTGGGGAGAATCGTGTCTGATATGGCAAAAGAAGGCATAATAACACAGGTTTGCGGCTGATATATACGTATACAAAAATAAGTAAAGAAGTTGACGGTAAGCATTAGTACTTTCGTGTTCAACCTTCAGAAGCTTAACATCAAAACAATAACAATACATCATGCCGTCATATATTCGATGGCGTCATCAATCACAAAGGGAAGTGAATGCTATACGGAGCTATTAGATTTAGGTTTGAATAATTTAAAAAAAAAACTCTTTTCGTTCTAAATGGTGATAAGTCCAGATGTTCACTTAAATTGAGTTTCCTATATTTCAGAGTTTGTATGTTATTTATGTACTCGGACACTTAAATTGTTGGTTGTCAAAGAGTTTCTGATTTTTCTGTGTAGTATTTATTGCAACCAAGGCATGTACTAACAAATCTTTAATTTATTGCATAACATTGTCGAATTAATTTTTATACCGACAGGAGGAATATCTTGCAACAAACTTCGATAGCTACTATCTCAGAACGGCAGCTGATTTTACGGAGCCATTCACCGACGTCATTCCGGAAGTTGGAAAACTTGGATTGGAATTGGTGTCGATGAAATCGTTTAAACACTATTTACCAAACCCCGCCTTTGATATCATCAACAAAGGTGAGATATATCCAGATAAAATCAACAAATTCACCCCTGTAGGCACATTTAAAACTCTTCAAATTTACAGGTTGAAATAGTCCATTATGAACTTTCAGGGATGAATGAGTTAAATTCAAACTTTATCAATTCCATTTTTTTTAAGTTGGGCTCAAAATATTGGAGATTTCGGATAATTGTCAGAAATAATAATGACGAAATTCACAAATAACAGCTACTTGAATAAAATGATCAAACGAAACACAAAGATCAAAGCACCTCTCACACACAATGTTAACATAATTACAACAATGTTACAAGGGATGCACCCAGATGAATAATTAATGCTTCTCCGGGATCGAGGTCCAGATATTACGTACACTGACTAGATTCCTGTGCTGTCTGTCAATGTCTAGGATGTCATTTGTTTTTACCTGACATTACACGATTTGACGTGACATTGCTCGGATTTGACCAACATGATCGTATTTGTCCTTGATTTATCGATGTTGGGTTTGAATAACGGTTTTACTGGCACTTCAGTTATTTATTTTAGCCCTTCGAGAAATTACAACTGAAAGCTTAATATCACACTTTCGTGAAAAGAACATATTGATTGAAAGATTAATATAAATCATTACCGAATATGAAAAGAAACAAGCCATTCGGGTTGATATGTCTCGCCTGTGCCCCGCTTTGACCATCAATGCAAATGTCAACTTTGGTTGGTCTGGCACTTTCAGAGAAACTAACATAAGAGATGCTGACAAAGTCAATGGACCATGAAAGGTAGGCCGCACCCAGCATTTGATGCATGGGGTGAGAGGTACTGCCTTAGATGCATCTATGGTGCAAGTTTGGTTGGTCTAGGACTTATACTTTCAGTGAAACTAACTTAGACGCAAAAACTTAATGTTGACGCCGTCGCCGGAAAAGCAACACCTTAGTCTCGCTTCCGCTACTTCGTGGCGGCGCGACTAAAATTATGATACACAAACTAATCTTTACATTTATCATTTCACCATGTGACAGATGAAACAGAAAAGCTGGAATACTCCCGCCAAATAGTTGCCAATGTCTACCCGTGGATGCATCACGTGCTTGAAGGAGGATTGTCCATTTCCAGAACAGAGAACGAGAAGCAGATTATCATCGACCAATATTTCAATAGATTACAAAAGTATGCGTTTGCTCATTCTGACTTCAAGCCGTTGATTATCTTTACAGAAGTTGTCATTAAAAAGGCCATATGATTTACACCGAATTGCATGCAAATAACAATTTATTTTCACAGAAACAGATATATAAATATCATAGCTGTTTATGATAACCAGAATATTATAAACATATGTGGGAATATATGTTGATGACAGAAAAGGTGGTTTGCTATATCTGTTGACATGTGTACTTACTTGTAATAATCATAACAAACCAATGATATCAATTATGACCACCTATTTACTCATGATCATGTTATCGCCTAAATTTTTACACGGCCAGGGACAACTTATCGACTATATTTTATAGACGGCCTGGGATCAGTTATCGACTGTAGTGTATACACGTCCTGGTACCAGTTGTCGATATCATGTTAGCTAAGCATTCACTTATATAATCTGTAATCGTTCTAATTGGATTAAAAGATATAAATTTATCACTTCACGTGAATAATTGTAGATGATAAATTAACATTTGTATTTTAATCAGATTTTAATATTTCCGGATTTTAAGATTTCAGCAAAACGTTAAGGTAATAGCACGGACTTTTTTTCAAATTAACATAATATTTTTGAAATTTGAAAATAATCTTTGTGTGAATATTCAACAGTGCGAGTATTATTGCAGAAAGTTAGGAAGATTGAATATTTTTTTATGTGTCTTCATGTATAATATGGAGACTTGGTCTTGAGTAAAATGGTCCATACATACACAGATGACGTATAAATTAACTGCCGTTGCAATAAACATAACATGCTAATATATATCTAAATAATATTGAATATATAAACAACTAGAACACTGACAAGTCAGTAAGGGCCCCGTCTTGTGGCAATATATCCCCAATAATCATCAGGAAGCAATCTGCCTATATAGCTGAGCTTGACGTTTGACATTTGGACTTCAAAAAGAATCGCAAGGAAGCAAAATATACATTTTACATGTACTATGATGTGAGTCTTGTTTCCTTCCACCTCCATATTTGCTGGGCTAACAGAAATGTAAATACCGGTGCAATACTCATTTGTTAGCTTTGATTTGTTTTATTTCACCTTATATACCTCCTCCATCAAGAGCCAGGGTCAAAGTCAGAGATCCACTTTGTCTTTGACCTTTGGACCCAAATGACCTTGACCATTAACCCAGTGACCCTGATCTTTGGTCAGTTGACTTTTTCTTTAACTCCGACCAACTATGCTTCATAATATCATAACAAAATGTTCATCAGTGAAAAATACAAAACTTGACCTTGACCATTTGGACCCCGTAACCTGGTCAGTTGACTCTGAGTTAAGTTCTGAACAAGTTTGCTACATAATAACATTAAAAAAAGTTCATCAGTAAAAGGATACAATAATTGACTTTGACATTGACCACGTGACCTTGCCCTTTGGTCAAATGACTCCTTGTTTAATTCCCACAAACATTGCTTCAAAGTGTCATAATGAAATATTCACCAGCAAAAAAATACTAAATTTAACCTTGACCTTTGACCGAGTGACATTGACCTTAAGTCAGTTGACTCTTTGTTAAATTCCAACCAACTTTGCTTCATAAAGTCATAACAAAATGTTCATCAGGGAAAAGATACAAAATTTGACCTTGACCTTTGACCCAGTGACCTTGACTTTTGGTCAATTGACTCCTTGTTTAATTCTGAGCAATATTGCTTCATTATGTCATAACAAAATGTTCATCAGTGAAAAGATGCATATTTTGACCTTGACCTTTGACCCAATGACCTTGACATTTGGTCAGGTTGACTGCTTGTTTAATTCTGATTAACTTTGCTTCATCATGTCATAACAAAATGTTCATCAGTGAAAATATGCAAAATTTGACCTTGACCCTTTAACCTAATGACCTTGACCTTTGACCTTGACTTTTTGCCTCAATTTGTATTTTTGTGAACTGAACATCTTGACTATGTTTCATGTACATCAGTCTATAAATATCAAAGTTATCAGCCAGGAAAAATTTGTGGACGGACAGACGGACGGATAGACGGACAGACAGAGTGATTAATAAAGGGCAAGAGATATGGGGCTCTGATACAGGGCCCTAATTGAATACTATCTAATGAATAAATGATTTTAGATTTTATTATAGGGATTGTTCTTGTTCGTGTTATTCTTTCCTCTTGTCCTGTTTATCAATAGATGAACAATTGCAGTTGCAAGACAGTTTTATGTTTTGCTTTTCAATTTTGCTATCAATTATATTGATGGCCAAATATCTCACACTTTCAACAACTCGCCGTCCGAAAAAACAACATATTTTTGCCGAGATCAACTTAATGACGTGAACCACCTGAGAATGCATAAACGAGGACTTTTAAGTCGGCGACGTCACCACACTGCACCACGATTTTGTCTCGAGACGTGAATGAAAATGAGCACTCTACAGCAAAGACAACTTGTTGCTGTTGGAGACATCAAGGTACATTCCTCTTAGTATTGACATTTTGCCTATGAATTACGAAAAACAAAACAAGTAGTATACAGATTTTATGATACCATGGATTTTATTTGAAGTTTGAAACATGATTTTCCATGTTCTCCCTCCTCTACCCATGTCTGACCACGATCAACCATTTCCTTGAAATGATCATTCGACGGAAAAGTTGAAATGATCTGATTGTTGTATTCTGTGTGGAACTTCTTCCCTGGTGGATATGTTTTTATACGATGACACCCAGTTTCTTCTACTTCAAGAATTACATTTGTACATGTTGTTTAGGTATACTGTCGGCTGATGTTTGGAAATGTGATACCATCTTAATGCGGTACCAGACGCCTTTTAATGTCATTTATATCTACAGCCAAAACCTGGTGTACAACTAACACTGCCTTGCTAAACTGACAATTATTCCACAAGCTTGCTGTTAAGCTGCTGTAGAGTGCTGACATTTTCCAACATCCCATATGCTTTTCTGCTCTTTCCAAATATTCTTTTTTTCAGTTAATAAGTACATGTGTATTATATAAAAATATACCAATTTTCATCTGTATTATTTTTTCAATGTAATTGTTGATTTTATCCAATTTCCACATAAGAGGTTGGAGGAATAGAGTCAATCGTTATGTAGGTATGGGGACATGGAAAGTCAAACCTTGGCGTAGAATTGTGTATCAAAACCTCAGGAAAGTGTGGTTCAGATCCCATATTCAACACTCGGAGGTCCTTGTTAGAATGTCCATATCCCCTATAGCTACAGCCGTTTACCGTATCCAGCAATAAGGAAAATGCTTTTAAAATGAAATACTTATATATGTGCTTATAAACAGAACAATATTCAACGTAAAAGCTATGTATTTAGACCAAACATTAAGCAAGGCTAGGAACGCGTAACCGATATTTTAGAGCTTAGAGTTCACACGATGTGACAGAATGGGTTTTTTTTAGGTTTATCTTACACACCTGCAGAACAGTCCATATCGTGATTAAGGGGAGAGAAACGAAAAAATCTTTTAGTCATTTTTGATGTCACTCTTTTAACCCAGTTTGAAAACAATTGGCGGAAAGGACTTTGAAATGAATCATTCTAAACCTATAATGCTTTTAAAAATCAGAAAAGCTAAAAATTTGTTTAATTAAAATCCATAAATCTAGCTATATCATTGCCTTTCAAGAGGATCTGTAGGTGCAAATTTTATAACACAATAGAAACTCTCAATGTCAACGATACAACCATTTTGAAATATAAATAAATACATAAATCGTCTGAAGAGCACCAAGATGGGCAAAAGTAATAGCCGGATTTAGTCTTCAGTGTTTTGTTTTATTTAAAGGTAAAATTGTACAGGCACATTCCGACTTACTGGGAGGACCTGTCCCACTAGTATGTCTGAACAAGCCATGAACAGTTGTTTACTGACCTATGCATAGGTCTCCTAGGTTTATTTCTGTTAGGGGGGCTCCTATACCTTAAGATACTTACAAATGTTGATGTTCGTCACCTACTGCTCCGAGAAGGAGCAAACGTGAGCTTGAAATACAGCCTGAAGTAATTGTTTTATCTATGAAATATTTACAAAAAGAACAAACATACCGAAAAGCTCGAAAAGTGTCGAGGCTTAAATGGCCAAACACTGCTTTAAAAACATCAGAAAGCAAAGCAGAATTTTACAAAATAAAATTGGTTTATTTCTGTGAGAGGGGTTCCTATATATATACCTTAACATACTTACAAACTTTGTCACCTACTGCTCTTAGAAAGAGCTTAAATAAGCTTGAAATACAGCCTGAAGTAATTGTTTTATCTATGAAATATTTACAAAATGAACAAACATACTGCACGATATGTTTAGACAATTTAATGGATAATATCTCTCTGCACATAAAACAGGAATGGTTTCATATAATGTCTTGGAAGTGAAATTAATGGTAGACCTGAGAGAAGACTCTCTACTTCTACAAATGGAGGATCTACCTGGTGTTCACCAGGGCTGTCATGATACGTTCACATGATGATACGATACGTATCCCGATACTGTCATGATACGTTCACATGATAATACGATACGTATCCCTATACTGTGTATGATACGTTCACATGATGATACGATATGATCCCGATACTGTGGTCACGATATGATACGTTCACATGATACGATACGTATCCCTATATGGTGTATGATACGTTCACATAATAATACGATATGATCCCGATACTGTGGTCACGATATGATACGTTCACATGATAATACGATACGTATCCCGATACTGTGGTCACGATATGATACGTTCACACGATACGATACGTATCCCGATACTGTGGTCACGATATGATACGTTCACATGATGATACATACGTATCCCGATACTGTGGTGACAATATGATACGTTCACATGATAATACGATACGATCCCGATACTGTGGTCACGATATGATACGTTCACATGATAATACGATACGATCCCGATACTGTGGTCACGATATGATACGTTCACATGATAATACGATACGATCCCGATACTGTGGTCACGATATGATACGTTCACATGATAATACGATACGATCCCGATACTGTGGTCACGATATGATACGTTCACATGATAATACGATACGATCCCGATACTGTGGTCACGATATGATACGTTCACATGATAATACGATACGATCCCGATACTGTGGTCACGATATGATACGTTCACATGATAATACGATACGATCCCGATACTGTGGTCACGATATGATACGTTCACATGATAATACGATACGATCCCGATACTGTGGTCACGATATGATACGTTCACATGATAATACGATACGATCCCGATACTGTGGTCACGATATGATACGTTCACATGATAATACGATACGATCCCGATACTGTGGTCACGATATGATACGTTCACATGATAATACGATACGATCCCGATACTGTGGTCACGATATGATACGTTCACATGATAATACGATACGATCCCGATACTGTGGTCACGATATGATACGTTCACATGATAATACGATACGATCCCGATACTGTGGTCACGATATGATACGTTCACATGATAATACGATACGATCCCGATACTGTGGTCACGATATGATACGTTCACATGATAATACGATACGATCCCGATACTGTGGTCACGATATGATACGTTCACATGATAATACGATACGATCCCGATACTGTGGTCACGATATGATACGTTCACATGATGATACGATACGATCCCGATACTGTGGTCACGATATGATACGTTCACATGATGATACGATACGATCCCGATACTGTGGTCACGATATGATACGTTCACATGATGATACGATACGATCCCGATACTGTGGTCACGATATGATACGTTCACATGATGATACGATACGATCCCGATACTGTGGTCACGATATGATACGTTCACATGATGATACGATACGATCCCGATACTGTGGTCACGATATGATACGTTCACATGATGATACGATACGATCCCGATACTGTGGTCACGATATGATACGTTCACATGATGATACGATACGATCCCGATACTGTGGTCACGATATGATACGTTCACATGATGATACGATACGATCCCGATACTGTGGTCACGATATGATACGTTCACATGATGATACGATACGATCCCGATACTGTGGTCACGATATGATACGTTCACATGATGATACGATACGATCCCGATACTGTGGTCACGATATGATACGTTCACATGATAATACGATACATATCCAGATACTGTGGTCACGATATGATACGTTCACATGATACGATACGTATCCCGATACTGTGGTCACGATATGATACGTTCACATGATGATACGATACGTATCCCGATACTGTGGTCACGATATGATACGTTCACATAATAATACGATACGATCCCGATACTGTGGTCACGATATGATACGTTCACATGATACGATACGTATCCCGTTACTGTGGTCACGATATGATATGTATAGTATCAAGTAGAAGCAAAGCGAAAAGATATGTTGCAAAGTTTTAATGGAGATAATATATTACAACAGGAAATAGACTTGGTTCGAAACGGATATGACTTTCTGGTTTTACACAATTCTTGTCTTTTGATGTACACTCGCCATTTGGGAATGGATATGAGTAGACTAAATTCAAAAACAACAAAATCTGGAAAACACCTTAGGCCAAACCAAAAAGTTTTTGGTGTTTTCGGTAACACTACCTACCCTAAATGATTTTAGGCGATTTTCATAGAAGCGCTATTAACCCTTAGGCTGCTACGCACAACAATAGTCGTTTTTAAAAGTCGGGCCGTCAGTGCTACGCACGACTATAGTCGTTTCTTGGTCTGTAGGCTTTGATCGGTAGCCAGGAAGTGTGGAGTCAGGTTGTTGCTATACCAAACCCGAACGCGTATAGTAGACAGCTTCTGATTGGTTGTTTTGCCATTACTTTCGATATTCACGGCAGTGTACCCTAGTAATAACCAAAGGTGTGCGAGAGAATTTCAAATCGAAAAAAAATCATAAAAATGGCAGACGTGTAGATTGAAGCGATGAATATGATGGTGAACATTTATTCTCCATCGTCACCTACGATGATAATAAAGGTTTTAAAGGGTTTTGCATGGTTGATGTGGAAATACTTCGGTGTTACATAATATGTAACTTTCCAGTAAACGGCTTTGTGCTCTACGCGAACAGGAAAATATCGGCGGACCGAGGCGCACATGTCGTCTGCAGGTGAGGCCGAATTGAACATTGACATTGATACGTTTTGAGCCGATTTATTTCTTCAAACTTTTTATCGGTGATTTAATCATAAACTAGACCGTAGCTAAGATATATTTATATGCCGACTGTGACAGTAAATTTATTGAATGGCGACCTGAAACCTGTAGCAAATCACATGCAATTCTTGACGAAATACCTGACCTTTTTACCTGAGAATCTCCGTGTAAATATACAGCGTCTTATGTCAAAAATGAAGTTTATAATCTCTGTTATCATTTGCCAATCACATTTGCAGACAAAAATAGTTTTAAAATGATCTTCCTCTTGCTTAAATCCGATTAATTAAAAGTTTCACATTTTCTTACCTTTATTACCACCTGTACAGGTAAATACTGAAGCAACTTTAGTATTGAAAACCTTAATATAAACTAGAGACAACAACGAACAATTTTTATATAACTTTTTTTCACATGTAACAAATATTTTCCAAGTTATGCACATTTGAAAAATCAAGTAAATTAATTTAAATTTCAATAATTAATTCAGCAGTGGTGTCCGTTTACATAGAAATCATTATAGCAGCCTAAGGGTTAAAGTTAAGATCACTCTCCTAAATAAACTTTATAAAATTATTTGTTAAAGTAAATCTTTTTATCTACCTACCTACCCTAAAATTTTCAAACATGTTACAGGGAACACACATATTTTTTTTCCTGGTCTTATCTTGTTACTTGACCTCCTAAAACATATTGTGTATCGTACCATATTCAAAATATTGTGATATAACTTGTGCATCCCTACTGTTCACCAGTAATAAAGTGATTTATTAAGGATCCCCGTACCACTGCCAAAAACTGTAACTAAGTATTGGATATATAAATATCCGACATGACTATAGCTTTGATAAATCATTTCTGTAAAGAAAACAATACCTTTATCTTGCAGAAAGTTCATGACTACATAATTATGATAATAATAATAATCATAATTCGAGGTTCTCATATACCACTTTATCACATTCTAGTTTGTAGGTTGTTTCAAAGCGGTTCACAAATTATTATCCGTGGTTATAGGACTTTTGAACCGGCCAATATCTTTCTCAACTCCCTCGGAGCATCAAGCTGGTGCTGCTATTTCGGCGCTCACAACTAGTGTTCAACAATTCTAGCACTACCCAACCACGTACTCATTTACAGCTGAGTAGACTGGAACAAGCGGAGTCAAGTACTTAAGTATCTTGCTCAAAGAAACAACACAGTACCGTGCCGTGCATGACTCGAACCAGCAACCCTTCGTTCACGAACCCGGTGTCCTACCACTAGATACATACTCATTTACAGCTGAGAAGATTGGAACAAGTGGAGTAAAGTATCTTGTTCAAAGATACAACACAGTGCAGTGACCTGACTAGAACCTGCAACCCTTTGGTCAAGAGGCTGGCGTCCTACCACTAGACTACCATGCCTCCTTACAGTAAATATATATCTATCAACAGCAGTGTTCTGAGTGTGAAAACTCAACAGGGCTACACAAGTATTCATAGCCTAGACCTCACATGGTTCTAGTGTTGCTTTAACCGACTGACCTACCTGGTCAACGTTGGTACCTAGGCACAGTGGAATAACATTAATATCCAAAACAAAATTAATGGGAGACAACTGTATGTCCGAAAAAACAACAAGAGGAATTCTCTAGAGAATCTCATCTAGAGGGACAGGGATCCTCAAGTTTCCGAATTATTTTTTCCTTATTTTTACAGCAGCCTGTTCTTACATGAATTGGGAAAGTATAGAAATATTTTTTATAGAAATGGAGAAAATATTCCCAATTTTTCCGTTCATTTTGGAAAATAACACACCTTTTTGCAAGGGAATGCAACCTGCATTCGGCTGTAAAACTAGGCAAATATGATGTATTTAATTATCACAACTTTTCACATAAGCACATCACGAATATATCCAAAATGAGGCTGGCATTGATCACCAATAACAATTTGACTTGTAAAGATTGGTGTCGTCAATTTGATCAGTAGTACAGCTACTATGCCTTGGAGGGTGTCATAATCCCTCTGTTTTCATGTCATTGATGCCGAGAACCTCATTTTGGTCGTAATCCCGTTCGTAGTGTACAATTTCAAGCTCTGGGTCGTCGTCTGGGGCGTAAACATTCTGTAGGTAACTATTGCCCGCAGGATCATCCAGGACGAAGTGTATCCCCATCATCTCCCCATCAATCACCTAAACAAACATAATTAATATACAGGCTGCTTTAAAACATGAACTGTTTTGAATGTAGATAGGAATATTAAAATATAACATTTTCCATATAAAATGGAACAATGTTCTTGGCATTGCTAGAAAGTTTCTTTCAGTAGTAACATTAGCCTCCTTGGTCAGCTTTTGACATGGGCAGCAATACAAAACTAAACATCTCAAAAATTTCTTACTGCAGAATTCAAAAACAGATTCTACCGAAGAAGTTTGGGCTGGGCAAGACCACAGGGACTGTACCTTGTCAAGCTGATTACAGAAGTCATCTAGCTTCGATTTCCTCTCTGGTTGGGAACTGTCGCCTTGAAAGAATGAATTTGGTCCACTTAACTGTAAAAAGCATAAAAAGTAAGTACAGATATGGATCTGAAGTGGTACAGACATGAGTATGTAATTATATAAAAGGACAACTTGAAGTAACACTTTTAAATATACATTGTACCTGTATCTTCTTTTTTCACAAGTCTAGTGTCAAGTTTATAGAAGTAAATTCCATAAAATCTGTTAAACTTGTACATAGATTTTTTCTGACAAAATTAAGATCGATAAAAACATCTTTCAAAAGTTGTGAAGTTAAGATTTTGATTTTTTCTTTAAAACTGTATTTTTGCGCTTTGTTTTCCCAGTGTCCATTTAATTTATAGTCACATTGTTAGAATTCACAGTATTAGAAGATTACTTTTTAACCCAGTGTTACATACCTTGATGACAATTTATCCAATAACCACTATAATTCACAGGGGTATGACACAGACCTCGATCTCAAATCCTGAATATGTTATTCCCCAACTAACACCTGTATATGTTATTCCCCTACTAACACATGTATATGTTGTTTACATATCAAAGTCATTTTCAGTAGATGCGCCAATAGTAGTCGTAGACTAATGGTAAGACGTCGCCATTGGTGAGTTAACGGTGAGTTAATGGGATGGTGATCCACAATCTCAAAGCCTGAATATGTTACTCCCCAGCTAAAGCCTGAATATGTTATTCCCCGGCTAAAGCCTGAATATGTTATTCACCTGCTAAAACCTGAATATGTTATTTCCCAGCTAAAACCTGAATATGATATTCCCCAGCTAAAGCCTGAATATGTTATTCCCCAGCGAAAGCCTGAATATGTTATTCCCCTGCTAAAACCTGAATATGTTATTCCCAAGCTAAAACCTGAATATGTTATTCTCCAGCTAAAACATGTATATGTTATTCCCCAGCTAAAATCTGAATATGTTATTCCCCAGCTATAGCCTGAATATGTTATTCCCCGGTTAAAGCCTGAATATGTTATTCCCGAGCTAAAACCTATATATGTTATTCCCCAGCTAATCCCTGAATATGTTATTCCCCAGCGAAAGCCTGAATATGTTATTCCCGAGCTAAAACCTATATATGTTATTCCCCAGCTAATCCCTGAATATGTTATTCCCCAGCTATAGCCTGAATATGTTATTCCCCGGCTAAAACCTGTATATGTTATTCCACAGCTAAAACCTGAATATGTTATTTCCCAGCTAAAACCTGAATATGATATTCCCCAGCTAAAGCCTGAATATGTTATTCACCTGCTAAAACCTGAATATGTTATTCTCCAGCTAAAACATGTATATGTTATTCCCCAGCTAATCCCTGAATATGTTATTCCCCAGCTATAGCCTGAATATGTTATTCCCCAGCAAAAGCCTAAATATGTTATTCCCCAGCGAAAGCCTGAATATGTTATTCCCGAGCTAAAACCTGTATATGTTATTCCCAAGCTAAAGCCTGAATATGTTATTCACCTGCTAAAACCTGAATATGTTATTCTCCAGGTAAAACCTGTATATGTTATTCCACAGCTAAAACCTGAATATGTTCTTCCCCATCTAAAGCCTAAATATGTTATTTCCCAGCTACTGCCTGAATATGTTATTCCCCTGCTAAAACCTGAATATGTTATTCTCCAGCTAAAACATGTATATGTTATTCCCCAGCTAAAGCCTGAATATGTTATTCCCCAGCAAAAGCCTAAATATGTTATTCCTCAGCTAAAGCCTGAATATGTTCTTCCCCAGCTAAAGCCTAAATATGTTCTTCCCCAGCTAAAGCCTAAATATGTTATTTCCCAGCTACTGCCTGAATATGTTATTCCCCTGCTAAAACCTGAATATGTTATTTCCCAGCTAAACCCTGAATATGTTATTCCCCAGCTAAAGCCTGAATATGTTATTCCCCAGCTAAAACCTGAATATGTTCTTCCCCAGCTAAAGCCTAAATATGTTATTCCCCAGCTAAAGCCTGAATATGTTATTCCCCTGCTAAAACCTGAATATGTTATTCTCCAGCTAAAACCTGTATATGTTATTCCCCAGCTAAAACCTGAATATGTTATTCCCCAACTAAAACCTTCGGTATATGTTATTAACTTATTCAAGCCATAAGATGGTGATCCCTGTCATGCCCCTGTGCTATAGAGTACATGAACTGATGTAATAAACAATGATTGACATGTTGGCCCCCTACTCACATGATCCTTGACGTTCTGTAGTAATCCCTCCAGGGTAGTAAACTTTCCTCCCAGTGTACCGAAGTCGGTTTCGAAGTCCATCTCTGGGATACCTATACTGCATGTCTCACTCTGTAACATATAAACAAAGCACTATCTACAACTTGTTTCTTTTTATTCAATGTTAAAAAATGCTCTGGAATCAGTTGAATAAATAAGATAAACGGATATGGAGATCAGGTACTGTAATAAAAAGAACAAGAGGCCCAAGAGGGCCTGTATCGCTCACCTGAATATTTAAGCAGTCATAGCAAAATATTCTTATTAAATATTATATTGCACTAAAAATATTTCCCTCGCAAACTTTGTTGGCTCCATCTGTTGAAACTACCAGCAAAATATTATTACAAAATTCTATGCTTTTTGATTCTTCAGAAGTTGCTTGACATATTTTTCCCTGTGACCTTGTAAGTAGGTCAATGTAATTTTCCTTCTCAAATTGGTTAGCTCTATTCCAAAAGCTACCATCCAAATCTTATGAATCAATTCCTTTTAGTTCTTAAGAACAAATCCATTAAAATGTTGTTGAACTCTGTGACCTTGAAAGTAGGTCAAGGTCACTTTCATTCGCAAACTTTGTATGGCTCTTTCCCAGGAAATAACCAGCCGAATATTAAGGTTCTATAACTTCCAGTTCTTCAGAAGAAGTCATTTGAAGTGTTTGACATATCTGCCTCATGTGACCTTAAAAGTAGGTAAAGGTCATTTTCATTCTCAAACTTTGTTGGGCTCTTTCCTAGGAAGCTACAAGCCAAATATAAAGATTCTATACCTTTCAGTTGTTCAGAAGAAGTCGTTTGAAGTGTCTGACACATTTGACCCCTGTGACCTTGAAAGAAGGTCAAGGTAATTTTCATTCTCAAACTTTGTTGGGCTCCATCCAAGGAAGCCATCAGCCAAATATGAAGATTCTATACCTTTTAATTCTTCAGAAGAAGTCGTTTGAAGTTTTTGACATATTTGACCCCTGTGACCTTGAAAGTAGGTCAAACTAATTTTCATTCTCAAACTTTGTTGGGCTCTATCCCAGGAAGCCACCAGCCAAATATAAAGATTCTATACCTTTCAGTTCTTCAGAAGAAGTCGTTTGAAGTGTTTGACACATTTGACCCCTGTGACCTTGAAAGTAGGTCAAGGTAATTTTCATTCTCAAACTTTGTTGGGCTCCATCCCAGGAAGCCATCAGCCAAATATGAAGATTCTATACCTTTTAGTTCTTCAGAAGAAGTTGTTTGAAGTTTTTGACATATTTGACCCCTGTGACCTTGAAAGTAGGTCAAGGTCATTTTCATTCTCAAACTTTGTTAAGCTCTCTCCCAGGAAGCCATCAGCCAAATATGAAGATTCTATACCTTTTAGTTCTTCAGAAGAAGTTGTTTGAAGTTTTTGACATATTTGACCCCTGTGACCTTTAAAGTAGGTCAAGGTCATTTTCGTTCTCAAACTTTGTAGGGCTCCTACCAACAACGCTTTCAGCCAAATATCATGACTCTAGGCCTGTCCGTTCTTCAGAAGAAGTTGTTTAAAGGAAAAGTTGACGGACGAGGACGGACGGACGACAAACGGACGACGGACACCGCACCACGACATAAGCTCACTTGCCCTTCGGGCAGGTGAGCTAAAAACCAATGATCAAGGGAGATAGTCAATAAAAAATCAATTTAACAGAAAAATAGAGATTAGAAGGTTTTCAATGGAAATGTTGATAAGGGGAGGAATTCCATGTAATTATGAGAATAAGGGTCAATAATGACAGGTGAATTGTAATCAGTGGAGGTCATAAAGATAAATAGAATTTCAGGGGAGATAATCATTTTCTATGAAAATCAGTTAAAATAAGCAGACTATAGACGGATATCAGGGAGTTTAATCACATTACATGGAAATCAGAGGAGTTAATCAAGGAGGTAGGCATGCTACAGTGGAGATACCTAAATTATCACCTGTTGAATCTTGTTATAGTAATACAAACAATTTTCAGACCATGAAATAAAACGTTCTGTATTGCACATGTGCAATACGGAATGTTGTATTTACCTACTAGCCGCAACTACTTTTTATGGGAATCCCCTCGTCAAGGTGAACTGAAAAGTTCCCGGTATTTGCAAAAAATGTCAAAGTTTATAAAATCTTTGTATCAATCTCTACCAAATATGGAAGGTATGTGAAAAAGCAAGACCACACACTTGTGTTTTCTAACAAATCAGAAAGCACTCATTTATTGCGCGGACGTATATATATTCACGCGTGAAGATATTTGTTCACGAAATAAGCTCTTGCGTTCTGATTCGTTAGAAAAACACAAGTGTGTGGTCTTGCATATATACTCATGCCATATTGGAAAACCTCTGTTCCTAAAGAGGGCTATACCATCATTTGCACAAGTCAGTTCCCTTGCCCTAGGAATGCTTCACATCTAAATATGTTATATTGACTTTGCTTGTATTTAAACTTGCACTGACTTTCTATATACCCTTGGACTTTTACTGACCAACACTACGCTCCGTGACCTTGTACTGACCTTGAGGACATCACGTGACATGTCTATAGGATCCGTGAGTTTCAATGTAATCCTGCAGCCCTTTGGCTCGATGCCAGATGCACTCTTCACCTCGTTGGTACGGGAACCACATGCATCACAATTGGTTGCCATGATAATGACCTCCTTGAAATGAGGAATTGCTAACACAACTTAAGGACCAAACTTATGCAAATTGTATCCAATCAATTATGGGCAAGAGGTCCACCGGGCCTGCAACAACCAGTCAACAGGTCTATGTGACCTGTATCACTCATAGACAAGAGATCCATGGGACCTGTATTACTCATAGACAAGAGATCCATAGGACCTGTATCACTCATAGACAAGAGGTCCATAGGACCTGTTTCAATCATCGAAAAGAGATACATGGAAACTGTATCACTCATAGACAAGAGGTCCATGGGACCTGTTTCACTCATAGCCAAGAGGTCTATGGGACCTGTATCACTCATAGACAAGAGGTCCATGGGACCTGTATCACTCATAGACAAGGGGTCCATGCATGGGACATGTATCATTCATTGACAAGAGGTACATAGGACCTGTATCACTCATTGACAAGAGGTCCATGGGACCTGTATCACTCATAGACAAGGGGTCCATGCATGGGACATGTATCATTCATTGACAAGAGGTACATAGGACCTGTATCACTCATTGACAAGAGGTCCATGGGACCTGTATCACTCATAGACAAGAGGTACATGGGACCTGTCACACTCATTGACAAGAGGTCCATGGGACCTGTATCACTCATAGGCAAGAGGTCCATGGGACATGTTTCACTCATAGACAAGAGGTCCCATGGCCCTCTTGTCTATGAGTGATACAGGGCCCATGGACCTCTTGTCTATGCGTGATACCGGTCCCATGGACCTCTATTGTCTATGAGTGATACAGGTCTCATGGACCTCTTGTCTATGAGTGAAACATGTCCCATGGACCTCTTGTTAATGAGTGATACAGGTCCCATGAACCTCTTGTCTATGAGCGATACATGTCCCATGGACCTCTTGTCTCCATGGACCTCTTGTCTATGAGTTATACATGTCCAATGGACCTCTTGTCTATGAGTTATACATGTCCAATGGACCTCTTGTCTATGAGTTATACATGTCCCATAGACCTCTTGTCTCTTAGTGATACAGGTCCCATGGACCTCGTGTCTATGAGTGATACATGTCACATAGACCTCTTGTCTATTAGTGATACAGGTCCCATGGACTTCTTGTCTATGAGTGATACAGATCCCATGGACCTCTTGTTTATGAGTGATACATGTCCCATGTACCTCTTGTCTATTAGTGATACAGGTCCCTTGGACCTCTTGTCTATGAGTGAAACATCTCCCATGGGTCTCTATTTTCTATGAGTGATACAGGTCCCATCGACCTCTTGTCTATGAGTGATGGCTATGAGTGAAACAGGTCCCATGGACCTCTAGTCTATGAGTGATACAGGTCCCATAGTGAGTGATACAGGTCCCATGGTCCTCTTGTCTATGAGTGATACAGGTCTCATGGACCTCTTGTCTATGAGGGATACATGTCCCATGGACCTCTTGCCTATGAGTGATACAGGTCCCATCCCATGGACCTTTTGTCTAGGAGTGATACAGGTCCCATGGAGCTCTTGTCTATGAGTGATACAGGACCCATGTACCTCTTGTCTATGAGTGTTAAAGGTCCTATGGACCTCTTGTCTATGAGTTATACATGTCCAATGGACCTCTTGTCTATGAGTATGTCCAATGGACCTTTTGTCTATGAGTGATACAGGTCCCCTTGTCTATGAGTGATACAGGACCCATGTACCTCTTGTCTATGAGTGTTAAAGGTCCTATGGACCTCTTGTCTATGAGTATGGACCTCTTGTCTATGAGTGATGGCTATGAGTGAAACAGGTCCCATGGACCTCTAGTCTATGAGTGATACAGGTCCCCTTGTCTATGAGTGATACAGGACCCATGGACCTTTTATCTATGAGCGATACAGGTCCCATGTACCTCTATTGTCTATGAGTGATACAGGTTCCATAGACCTCTTGTCTATGAGTGTCTATGAGTGATACATGTCACATAGACCTCTTGTCTATTAGTGATACAGGTACCATGGACCTCTTGTCTATGAGTGAAACATGTATCACTCATAGACAAGAGGTACATGGGACCTGTATCACTCATAGACAAGAGGTTCATGGGACCTGTATCACTCATAGATAAAAGGTCCATGGGACCTGTATCACTCATAGACAAGAGGTCAATGGGACCTGTATCACTCATAGACAAGAGGTCCATGGGACCTGTATCACTCATAGACAAGAGGTCCATGGGACATGTATCACTCATAGACAAGAGGTCCATGGGATCTGTATCACTCATAGACAAGAGGTACATGGGACATGTATCACTCATAGACAAGAGGTCCATGGGACATGTATCACTCATAGACAAGAGGTACATAGGACCTGTATCACTCATTGACAATAGAGGTCCATGGGACATGTTTCACTCATAGACAAAAGGTCCATTGGACATGTATCACTCATAGACAAGAGGTCCATAGGACATGTATCACTCATAGACAAGAGGTCTATGGAACCTGTATCACTCATAGACAAGAGGTCCACAGGCCCTGTATCACTCATAGACAAGAGGTCCATGGGACATGTATCACTCATAGACAAGAGGTCCATGGGACCTGTATCACTCATAGACAATAGAGGTCCATGGGACATGTTTCACTCATAGACAAGAGGTCCATGGGACCTGTATCACTCCTAGACAAAAGGTCCATGGGACCTGTATCACTCATCGACAAAAGGTCCATGGGACATGTATCACTCGAAAACAATAGGTCCATGGGACCTGTATCCATCATAGACAAGAGGTCCATGGGACCTGTATCACTCATAGCCAGGAGGTCCATGGGACCTGTATCCTTCATAGCCAAGAGATTCATGGGACCTGTATCACTAATAGACAAGAGTTCCACGGGACCTGTATCACTCATAGACAATAGAGATCCATGGGACATGTTTCACTCATAGACAAGAGGTCCATGGGACATGTATTACTCATACACAAGAGGTCCACGGGACCTGTATCACTCATAGACAAGAGGTCCATGGGACCTGTATCACTCATAGACAATAGAGATCCATGGGACATGTATCACTCATAAACAAGAGGTCCATGGGACCTGTATCACTCATAAACAAGAGGTCCATGGGACCTGTATCACACATAAACAAGAGGTCCATGGGACCTGTATCACACATAAACAAGAGGTCCATGGGACCTGTATCCATCATAGACAAGAGGTCCATGGGACCTGTATTACTCATAGACAAGAGGTCTATGGGACCTGTATCACTCATAGACAAGAGGGCTATGGAACCTGTATCACTCATAGACAAGAGGTCCCCAGGACCTGTATCACTCATAGACAAGAGGGCTATGGAACCTGTATCACTCATAGACAAGAGGTCCCCAGGACCTGTATCACTCATAGACAAGAGGTCTATGGGACATGTATTACTCATAGACAAGAGGTCCATGGGACCTGTATCACTCATAGCCAAGAGGTCCACAGGACCTGTATCACTCATAGACAATAGAGGTCCATGGGACATCTTTCACTCATAGACAAAAGGTCCATGGGACCTGTATCACTCATAGACAAGAGGTCTATGGAACCTGTATCACTCATAGACAAGAGGTCCCCAGGACCTGTATCACTCATAGACAAGAGGTCCATGGGACCTGTATCACTCATAGACAAGAGGTCCATGGAACATGTATCACTCATAGACAAGAGGTCCATGGGACATGTTTCACTCATAGACAAGAGGTCCATTGGACATGTATCACTCATAGACAAGAGGTCCATGGGACATGTATCACTCATAGACAAGAGGTCTATGGAACCTGTATCACTCATAGACAAGAGGTCCACAGGACCTGTATCACTCATAGACAAGAGGTCCATGGGACCTGTATCACTCATAGACAATAGAGGTCCATGGGACATGTTTCACTCATAGACAAGAGGTCCATGGGACCTGTATCACTCATAGACAAGAGGTCCATGGGACCTGTATCACCCATAGACAAAAGTCCCATGGGACATGTATCACTCAAAAACAATAGGTCCATGGGACCTGTATCCATCATAGACAAGAGGTCCATGGGGCCTGTATCACTCATAGCCAGGAGGTCCATGTGACCTGTATCACTCATAGACAAGAGGTCCATGGGACCTGTATCACATCTCTCATAGACAAGAGGTCTATGAGACCTGCTCATAGACAAGAGGTACATGGACCTGTTTCACTCATAGACAATAGAGGTACATGGGACCTGTATCACTCATAAACAAGAGGTCCATGGGACCTGTATCTCTCATAGACAAGAGGTCTATGAGACCTGTATCACTCATAAACAAGAGGTCCATGGGACATGTATCACTCATAAACAAGAGGTCCATGGGACATGTATTACTCATACACAAGAGGTCCACGGGACCTGTATCACTCATAGCCAAGCGGTCCATGGGACCTGTATCTCTCATAGACAAGAGGTCTATGGAACCTGTATCCCTCATAGACAAGAGGTCCACAGGACCTGTATCACTCATAGCCAAGCGGTCCATGGGACCTGTATCTCTCATAGACAAGAGGTCTATGAGTGATACAGGTGCCATAGACCTCTTGTCTATGGGACCTGTATTACTCATAGACAAGATGTCTATGAGTGATACAGGCCCCATGGACATCTATTGTCTGTGAGAGAAACAGGTCCCATGGACCTCTTGGCTCTGAGTGATACAGGTCCCATAGACATCTATTGTCTATGAGCGAAACAGGTCCATGGACCTCTTGTCTATGAGGTCTATGGGACCTGTATTACTCATAGACAAGAGGTCCATGGGACCTGTTTCACTCATAGACAATAGATGTCCATGGGACCTGTATCACTCATAGACAAGAGGTCTATGGGACATGTATACTCATAGACAAGAGGTCCATGCGACCTGTTTCACTCATAGACAATAGAGGTCCATGGGACCTGTATCACTCATAGACAAGAGGTCTATGGGACCTGTATCACTCATAGACAAGAGGTTTATGGGACATGTGTTACTCATAGACAAGAGGTCCATGGGACCTGTATTACTCATAGACAAGGGGTCCATGGGACCTGTATCACTCATAGACAAGAGGTCTATGGGACCTGTATCACTCATAGACAAGAGGTTTATGGGACATGTGTTACTCATAGACAAGAGGTCCATGGGACCTGTATCACTCGTAGACAATAGAGGTCCATGGGACCTGTATCACTCATAAACAAGAGGTCCATGGGACTTGTATCACTCATAACCAAGAGGTCCACTGGACCTGTATCACTCATAGACAAGAGGTCCATGGGACCTGTATCACTCATAACCATGAGGTCCACTGGACCTGTATCACTCATAGACAAGAGGTCCATGGGACCTGTATCACTCATAAACAAGAGGTCCATGGGACTTGTATCACTCATAACCAAGAGGTCCACTGGACCTGTATCACTCATAGACAAGAGGTCCATGGGTCCTGTATCATTCATAGCAAAGAGGTCTATGGGACCTGTTTCACTCATAGCAAAGAGGTCAATGGGACCTGTATTACTCATAGACAAGAGGTCCATGGGACCTGTATCACTCATAGACAAGAGGTCCATGGGACCTGTATCATTCATAGCAAAGAGGTCCATGGGACCTGTTTCACTCATAGCAAAGAGGTCAATGGGACCTGTATTACTCATAGACAAGAGGTCCATGGTACCTGTTTCACTCATAGCAAAGAGGTCCATGGGACCTGTATTACTCATAGACAAGAGGTCCATGGGACCTGTTTCACTTATAGACAAGAGGTCCACTGGACCTGTATTACTCATTGACAAGAGGTCCATGGGACCTGTTTCACTCATAGACAAGAGGTCCATGGGACCTGTATCACTCATAGACAAGAAGTCCATGGGACCTGTATCACTCATAGACTAGAGGTCCATGGGACCTGTTTCACTCATAGCCAAGAGGTCCATGGACCTGTATTACTTAAGACAAGAGGTCCATAGGACCTGTATCACTCATAGACAAGAGGTCCATGGGACCTGTATCACTCATAGACAAGAAGTCCATGGGACCTGTATCACTCATAGACTAGAGGTCCATGGGACCTGTTTCACTCATAGCCAAGAGGTCCATGGACCTGTATTACTTAAGACAAGAGGTCCATAGGACCTGTATCACTCATAGACAAGAGGTCCATGGGACCTGTATCACTCATTGACAAAAGATCCATGGGACCTGTTTCACTCATAGCCAAGAGGTCCATGGACCTGTATTACTTAAGACAAGAGGTCCATAGGACCTGTATCACTCATAGACAAGAGGTCCATGGGACCTGTATCACTCATAGACAAAAGATCCATGGGACCTGTTTCACTCATAGCCAAGAGGTCCATGGACCTGTATTACTTAAGACAAGAGGTCCATAGGACCTGTATCACTCATAGACAAGAGGTCCATGGGACCTGTATCACTCATAGACAATAGAGGTCCATGGGACCTGTATCAGCAATATACAAGAACCACAAAATTGGTGCCCAAATCAATAATAAGAATAAATAAGTGAAATGGGTCTATTTTGTTAATAAACAAATTCTGCTCTCTCAATAATACATAAAACAGAACTACAACACTTTCAACACCTGTAGAAAGTCTGGTCCTGATGACGCGAAATTTGACAGATAAAGGATACCGACCATCTTCATGTGTGTACTGCAGGGTGAGTTACAGTTGGGACAGTTGGTCTGAAATGTCATCACCTGGAACACGAAGATCAAACAGAGTCACTGATGTTACTGTATCTGTAACTCAGAAGTTGGACACATTTGTGTCTTGTTGTCTAATATTTCTACACCTGTCAGTCATAACGGACAACAAAGACAATTTTTCTTTGTTGTCTGTGGATCAACCTTGAAATTGTGAATAAAACTCAATTTTTTATTTAATACGTTTTGTTGCCCTATCAGTAATCCTACCTCATCCTTTGCTCCCGGTGTGTCGTCCTCTTTCTCCTAAAACAGACAAGAGTTCAATAGGATTAACCAAGATATGTATAATATCAATACACAGATTGGTAAAATATGATATTTTATATTCTTAAGTTGACCGAGAACTGCAATAAATGATCAATGACATCTTTTATACAAAGTAAAATGTTTAAAAGTAATAAAATAAAATTTTGAACTGAAAGAAATAAGGCATCACAACTGATACAAATCCCCTCGCATTCACACATTGTGACATATGTAAAATGAAATGAAGTCTCTAGAGCGATGACAACATGTTTTCTAAAAATAGTAACAGTGACCTTGACCTTTAACATAGAAATCCTAAACAAGAACTTTTTCAAGGCATTACCATACCAACACTTGTATGAAGTTTCATGAAACTCCATTGAGGAATGAAATCGCTAGAGCGATGACAAAGTGTTTGTTAAAATAGTAAAAATGGCCTTGAACTTAAATGCAGTAACCTGAAATATGCAATGGTTATTGTCATACTAAACACTTGTAACAAGTTTCATGAAATTCTGTGGAGGAATGAAGCCGGTAGAACGACGACAGAAGTTTTTCTAAAAATAGTAACAGTGACCTTGACCTTAAACGTAGAAACCCGAAATGCAAACTTATTCAAGACATTGCCATACCAAACACTTGTATAAAGTTTCATGAAACTCCTTTGGGTAATGAAGTCACTATAGCGATGACAACGAGTGTAACATACATATGTACGGTGGAATCCTATATCCACTCAAACTTTCATTGACGAAAAAGGAAGTCCCAAAACATACAACTACAAATAAATAAACTCGTCATACAAACAACATCTAAACAAAACCTCTGTTATGTATCTATGACAAATAATGATATGTTTAACATGTAGCTAAAAGCTACAAAATATTATCTTTCTGTAGCTTACCGTGGTCAGTCCTAGGGCTTCATCCTGGTCAGCTGTCCTGGTGTAATGCTTGACTTTGGCGTTAGGATCAGACTTGGGAGCGTGCGTTTGAACAGTTAAGGTGAAATCCTGGATTTTTAGTCAGTTCTTAAAATTGACGGATGATGAGGAGTTTGTTTAGATTGTCTTTTAGCTGGGACAAAAACTTGTTACATTGTTAGCCTTGAATGGCTATGACCTTTGACCTTTGAATGAATTATCTTAAAGTCTAAGAGTTTACAACTTTCAAACTTCCACATTTCATAAAGTTAGGCAAGGTGAAGTTTAAGTTATGACGTGACACTGTTTTATTTACCATTTTTCCATAGCGACTTATTTCCTGTTGTGTTTTGAAAAGCAGTGATTAAAAAAAAAATGTATGTATTTGATGCAGGACTTGCAGATAAATATGAAAATGATAACTAGAAAACTTAAAATTGAATGAATGACTATAAACTACCCTTTGATAAAAAGTTAGAAGAATTATAGAATCTTTCTCCACCTTCGGGTAAGACAGAAAAATCTCCATCTTTGGGTTTCTTAAATGTCTAGCCAGAATCTTTGGCGAGGGCCAGACATTTAAGAGTCTTACCCGGAGGTAGGGTTAGGATTTTTTCTGTCATACTCCAAAAGTGGGGGATGATAATTTTTCTTCCTCCTCAAATACAAGAGTGGTTGAATGACATACAAGCATTGATTCTTCTTTTACCAGCAAACCCAATGAGTTAACTGTTGTGACCTGCCATTGATGACATGACATCATGATGCCTGGTGAAAATGTTAAAATCTAACCAAAAACTTAACAGTAACTTAAACCTCTAACAAAAACGGGAGACCAAACCAGCTAACAGGGCCATTTTTGTTTATCGTATTTCAAATGGTTGGACTGGTTCAACCAGTTGTTCTTTTATGAAATTGAAACGAATCTGATGATTTGACATTGCTTTCGGATGAGCCTTGGGAAACGCTTCCAGGCCTGCATTAACATTTGCAGATTCATTGGGTTTTACCTCTGATTTATTACACTTAAGAAATAGACAAACCAGTTGATCCACATACAAAAACAGGCCCTTGATGTTCTGGAAGAATTAGCGCCACCTTGATCCACATACAAAAACAGGCCCTTGATGTTCTGGAAGAATTAGCGCCACCTACACCACACGAGGCAATCATTATGATTTAACCATTATGTCATCTTTCTTCATATTTAAATGTTATCAAAAACAGATTAACTAAAGGATATGGATTCTCCACATAGCTGTTTCCTGTGGGATCGTCTACAACCTGCAACCAACCATCGTTAATTTATACAGTACTAATGTATTCATAACGGGGTATAAAGTAAAAACTTCTCAAAAGGTTATCTCATTAATGGTATGAAGATTATGCTACATTGATGAGAGTAGAATTCTAATTGCGTTTTATGAGACTCATCAGTTTAAATACTTCCCATAAAACTCATTAGTGTAAATGGTTCTCGTAAAACTCACTAGTGTAAATGGTTCTCGTAAAACTCACCAGCGTAAACGGTTCTCGTAGGGTCTTCAGCATGGTCAGTTTCAATATCACATCATCTATTTTAGAAGCAATCTCAGGACTTTGCTCCTATGACAACGCAACAATATCAACTTCAGAAAAAACATTTTCATAGAATCTTTGAACTATAGCCATGTACAAATTTAATTTACTGTGCGAAACCTTATACCAGGTTCAGTTATTCTGAAATATGTCTCGGCTAATTATCAGAGGCCATTGTGGCCATCTTGGGATTTCAAATGAACCCAATCATTAAGGTATCAGTCTAGTAACAATGTTACCAAAATGGGAGGTAAATAAGACAAAGTTTGAATAAAAGCTGATTGGCTTTTCTTGGCAGACAATGCACATGGATTCACATGGTTCTAGCAAAGTAAGCTAAAAAGCAAGGACTTTAAACTGTGTTTTTCTTTTGAGTCTGGTAACTTAAAGTCTATGGTGATAAGTGACTTTAAGCTTCAGACCAGTGACCTTAAATATAATCTAAGGTAAGGCATAAACTTTACCAGCGAATGACTTAACTGTAATATGAACAGCCATAGGCAGGTTGATCAATTTGTAACACTTACCCTTCGTGATGGCTGGTCCAGATTCAAACCGCTCACTGCACCGTCTATAACCCCCTCAATAGTGGTCAGAACTGGCAGACACAAAGGAGACAAAACTCAGCACATTTTATTACTGATCACTGAAAGACGATCACTAAGCCTGTGTTATTGTTGTAAAGTTTTATTTCAGCTCCTTTAGTTCTGTTAATATATCCACTTATTTATTAACCCTTTCAACTCTAGGTAACTTTAGTGGACTCTACCATGCATTTATTGGGATGAGTCCATTATGGTCTATGGTGGTGAAAGGGTTAAAAGAACATGAATGAGTTGTATGAACTGTGCCACAATCCAACCAATCAATACCTTGTATTATATATCCAAAGACATAGCAGTTTGTCTTCCTTTGGTTTTTGATATACTTTGTCATTGTCCATTGTCTGATACTCATGGCTGATTTCGCTTCCCTACTCACTCATCACCTGTGGGCAAACTTGCCGAAAAAAGGTCGTAGGTAATTAATATGCGCGGATCATTTGATTGGTGCCAGTACAGTTTCTCGATGGAAACTTTAACGAATCAGAATTCACGTTAAATATTCATGTACAGGAACATCACAAAGATATCGATAAATAGGTCTTCAAAATAGAAGAATTCCAAATTATATTTAAGATTATCTGATTGGTCAGTTCTGATATATGAATTCGCATTTTTTACGACGCTTTTTTGGCGAGTTTGCCCACGGGTGATAAGTAAGTAGTGAAGCGAAATGATGACACTTTGCCAACCATGCCACCACAAAGATGCATCAAAGGTTTAACACAGACAAAAACCAGTACCTCCTTTGCCTGGTGGAGCCTCAAACTCTAAGCTCGGGATAGAAACAGTGGCCCTCTCTGACTGCACAATCTGTCTGTTCAGGTCCTACACAGATATGTAAAACAAATATTAGAAAAGAGAGCAAATAATATGTTATTTTCAGAAAAGTAAACAAAAAGGCCGAGTATAGCACACAATCTGTAGTTGCCCATCTCTCGACAAGCGTCGGTATCAGAACTGAAGAGAGGACTATAATACTATACAAGAGGTCCAATGGGCCTGCATCGCTCACCTGGTATTAATATCACACTTGTAATCTTAAAAGTGGACTAAAATACAGCTACAGGCAAAATATCAGTGTTTCATTCATAAGAACCTATTAAAAGATTTAAACATATGACACCTGTGACCTTGAATGTTGAACAAGGACATTATAATATTAGGTTCAACAGAGTTTATAGCCTTTCAACCCAGCATGCTTCTGGGAAAATATCATTACCCTGGACCTTTTTGTTATACAGAACAAATCATTTAAACATATATTGACCACTGTGACCTTGAATATGGGCGAAGGTCATTCACTTGCTAGTCCTTCATCCCAGCATGTTAATGGCCAAATATCATCAACCTTGGCCTTTTGCTTATTAAGTCATTCAATAGTTTTAAACATATTTGACCCCTGTGACCTTAATATATATATGTCAAGGTCATTCATTTGAACTTGGTAGTCCTTCATCCAAGCATGTTACTGGCATTATCCTAGGCCTCCTGGTTATTCAGAAGAAGTTGTTTAAAGGTTTAGAACATATTTGACACTGTGACCTTGAAAAAAAATGAAGGTCATTCATTTGAACAAACTTTATAGCCCTTCATCCCAGCATGCTACTAGCCAAATATCACCATAGCATCACCCTATGCCTATTGGTTATTCAGAAGAAGATGTTTAAATGTTTAAAAACATATTTGCCCTCTGTGACCTTAAATATAAGTCAAGGTCATTTATTTGAACAAACTTGGTACAGTTAGAATTACGCCCAGGTATCCACTTTTTGTGGCACGAACGCAGGACGCACGCTTCCCGAACGGAGACGAGCCGCTATACGACCGCAGGACGAACCCGGTGCGAACGCAAGCCTACCGATAG